TCAACTAGTTGATAGGGACAGCTTTTCTGCAATCAGTTTCTCGCGATGGGGTGCTGCCAGTCCTGAACCTAAGCTTGGGTTGGTTGCTCCAGGGGGTTGGGCACTGCAGCCACGAGGTCTGGACCCAACACTAGCGACCCCTCCAAGCCGCTTGGCACAGAGAGGAGTTTTCTTGGAAGCCAGGGATTCGACGTCACTGTCAGGCCAGTCTTCCACAACAAGCACATGAGCGATGACGAGCGGGAGGCAAGAAGAAAGGCGGGTCACCTCGGTTCCACCTCTCACGTCGGGGAACCAGAGATGTGCCAAAGATCTGCCAGGCAGCAGCACAGGCAGCAGAGCAGCGTGCGCAAGACCTGCCTCGCGGGCTCGCTCTTGACCTCCGAAAGCGTTTGTTTCAGATGCGAGCACTGGCACTGGCTTTGGCCAGGGCGTCGAGAGGAGGCGTCAGTGGGAAGCCGGCGAAGGCATCAAAAGAGTCCATAGGATATCTTGAGCACTACCCGACGACAAAGAGTGAGGGAGAGAGAGAGAGAGAGAGAGAGAGAGAGAGAGAGAGAGAAAGAGAGAGAGAGAGAGAGGCATAGGGGGTAAAGCCCCTATACCATAACCCTGGCGAAAGAAAGAGAGAGAGGGCGAGAGCACGACCTTGGGCTCATCTACACGTTTCCATTCTTAGGGGGGGAGGGAGCTGAGGGGGGGGGGTCCAGCTCTGCGAGGGGTGGGATGTTAGAGGTGGGAGAGGGGATCCGAGAGCCGAGTGTCAAGGCCGGTGCTTCCGAAATTAAGAACGAGCCTGGGGCCTGGACACTTTTTAGAATACTTTCGGCTGCAGCGTGAATCACATCCGTGTTGCACTGAGGCAAGGCATGATGAGACCTGGCGACTTCAATTAGAATGCATTTGAGTCGGAGGCGTGCCGTCTGTACAGAGCACCCAGGGTCTCACAGCTCAGCTTGCTGCGCACATTGGCCCCTCTGCTTGAGGAAGCGTTCAAGATGCTTCTTGAAAGGGGGACAGACCCTAATTTGATGTTTAGGTGCGGGCACTCTGTAGTCTGGAGTCAGGATCCGGTGCTACAGTTGCCGGTATGCGCAAAAGACGTCTTTTGTTGATCGCCAAAAAATGCGCAACACTGTTCTGGCGGCAGCCCAGCTTGTGGAGTTGTTGCGGAGCGAGTGCGGCTCTTCTGCGTGTGCCCGTCGGCTTGCCGGCTCCAGTAGGAGGGACAGGCCATGCTCTTCAGCAGCCATGGAGCTCGGCTGGAAGATCAGGTGCGACAAATGCTCCGGGCCTGTACTCCTGGCTCTTGTGCATTGGCTTTGGCCAGAGTGAACAGGGCAACTGCCGCTGCCAACAAAAGCCTGGTTCCGTTGCCGCGAGATGAGGCAAGGTTAGATCCGTTCCAGACTTGGCTCACTTCTGGCTCGGTTTTGCAAGATGTCGTTGTAACCCTATTTGGGAGCTTGATTGATTTCTGTCTTGCTGAGGCTGTTGGGTGCTACAATTCGCAAGATCTTCGGGTCGCAGTGGTACTATGGACAGGCCAAATCTCAGACTTGATCGTGCCCTGTATTTTGTTGGCATGTTGTCGCCATTCGACCAGCCAGGTCATTGCCATAGATGCCGATGCAAGAGACCTGGTAAGGTTCTGTTTGCTTTCTCGAGCTTTACAGAAGCATCTGGCCTGAAAGCGATCGGCGTTGAGCGAGCTTGAGGTGGCATCTGGTGAAAGGGCTTATCATGTGGCCTATGAGGACTTTCACATGCCGGTGCATAGATGCCGAGCAATGCAGATCGTCACCGCACGTCACAAAATTTCACTTCCTGACGTTTACCCTCGAAACCCTGTCCCTGGCCGCAAGACTTCACTGGCTCCTTCTCGGCACCCTGACCGGCACTTTAACAGCATAAGAAGACGGACGGGACAGTGCAGGCTGAGGGAGCTAGGAAGACCAGCAGAAACGAGCTGCCAAAATGTCCTTGCCGTGACTGGCACATGTCTGCGGAGTGCAGGTACAGCAGTTTGAGCGCTGTATAAGCAGCAGGACGGAGACGAAGAGCACCTCAGCGCTGTCGAAGTCAAGCACTTCCTGGCCAGCCGACTGTGGCCGCATCTCGGTGTCTCCACGATGCCAGCGCCGAGGCGGCAGCCGCGCGCTCCGAAGCCCGGCCTTCGGAGGCCGGTCGCTCCAGGCGGCCCTCGGCAGCAGGTGGGGAGACCTGGAGGTTCTGCGTCTGCTCTGGCCTCGGCTGCGCCGCCTCGAGAAGGCACCCCACGGCCCAGCTTGGCTCCGATGCCCTCGGTGAGACCGTCACGAGGCTGGCGCAGCAGCGCAGCATGGCCCCAGCGGCCATCTGGTACTCCGTCACTGCTCCGGCACAGGTCCGGCACGTCCCGCTCCGAAGCCAACTTGGGGAAGAAGCCTCGGAGAGGCGCGGGGCGCGGGGCCAAAATCCTAAAGCTAAGCGCTGGACTCTGGGCTTTGGAGACATAGCTACTTGACTTGGCGAGTACTCTTGGAGATCGATCGCAGCCTCAAGAACGTCTCAGAAGTTGCCTTGGCCAGTGCCGGGCATGGTCATGCTCGAAAATTAATTCATCCCTGACTTCGCATGGTCTCAACGAATGCCTGTCATAGCACACCATGGGTTTCTTCGAGCGGGGATCAGCAACCTGAAATGGTGCTCTCATTTTCGCCAAGTGTCCCGGTCGCTGTCATCTCAGGTTCCAGGTTTGCTGATTTCGATGCACTTTCGGTTCCCGACGGTGGCTCTGAAAGCAACTTAACCGAAGAACAATGCACTGCTGTTTTCCAGCAACGTCGCGGGCAAAACTGGAACTTGACGTAGATGTCGTTTATGTTATGTGCTTTGCTTAATGGAGCCCACGTATACTCAGATCAACCATGTATGTAGCCGCTTTGGGTCTACACGTTCTCTCACGGTCCGGAAGTGCTGGTGTGGCAAAGGTGCTCTCAGTCAGAGCTCCTTGCGCCTATGTCAGAGCTTTGGTGAGCATCTCGAACTCGAAATGGAGAGAGGTGTTGATGCATGCCCAAGAATGGTCCTAAGCAGCTGGCAGCTCAGCAAGAGCATTACAAGGGGCACAGAAGCCATGCAAGGAGGAATGACAAGAGCAGTCGACATGACAAGATATTGCAGGAGTAGAGATGGAAAACGCAGGAAACATCACCACCAGTCGTAGGAGGAGAGTTGACATGTGCGCGCGAGTGTTTGCACCTGTAGGTCAAGTTCGGCTCTGTGGGCCCAACCCTCGCGGCAGTTGCGATCGGCTTGGTCATGGCCCGTCACCTACAGACTTTTCTCGGGTAAGATGAGTCGCTTGAGGTGGAATTGGCAGTATGCAAAGAGCCTTTGCATCATGTCTTTTTTCGCTGCCCTGCATCAGGTGCTTGGCTCCACGTGCCTGACCTGTTTGGCAAGTGCGCTGCTCTTCAGTTGCTGCAGATGGGATGTAAGGGGTGCGGGAGGATCGAGCTCCTCACAGGTAGCCTTTACGGTGCCGGAGCAGGTGACGTAGTTTCCGACCTCAGGCTCAGTCCCTGTCGCTGGGATGCGCTTGCACTTGCACGGTGGAATCAGAGCATGCAGGTCAGCCAGTCTTGGCACACATTTACCTCCTTGGGTGCACTTCTCAATCTGGTCAAGTCTCGAGTGGTGGTCCGTTGCGCAGCTTTCATTTCCGAGGCACAAGCCGCCCCACCAGCGGAGGTTGCATGCCGGAAGTTCGTTGCATCTGTGGAAGTCCGCGGAAGCGGTCGCTGGAGGTGCCGGCTGTGTCGGCTCACTGGCCCCTGCCCTCGGTAGAGGCTTGGGGGCTTGAGGAGTGAGTGCTGTTAGAAACAAGGCATTAGTCGGAGCGATCAACGTCACCCCCTTTGCAGTGCTCTGCAGGATGTGGAAGAGCTCGCTCCTCCCAAGGAGGCTCCCCTTCCCATTCCGCCAGCCAGAGCCTCTGCATATCCGAGCGATCGTTCCTACGATCATTCCGCGGTGGATACCGAGGAGCGAGAGACGGCAAGAGAGATCGGGACAGATGACGTTGAGATCTTCGCGAAAGTGCCACAGCAGGCCGAGCCTAGCCACAGGCCTCAGGTGCAGGATTTTTGTGGGTACCTCAGAGACACTAGCTCCGGTGGGGGAAGAGAGGAAGTGCCATGCCGAAGTGTCATCGGTAGTCAGCGGAAGTCACTTGGCCGCTGAAACAGCTGCATCTGCAAAGTCTGTGTGAGGGTCGTGCTGCCTGTTTTTTTTTTTCTTCTGCACGGCCACGGTGCCAGGCAGACGACACCGCGAGCGCGCTGCATACGAGCTTGCTAAACGAGGCAAGCTACTCCGAGCATCTAGAGCCGGCAGGAGGACTGGAATGGGATGCCACCTCCTGTGAGATCCACCCCGATTCCTTGTCAAATCAAGGAGGTGCCGAGGCCGAGTCGGTCGCGGTGCAGACGGTCGCAGATGACGAGCTAGCTGCCGCTGCTGCTGCGCTCGTTGAGGCTGGACGGCCAGAGCAGACCCTGACGACGATTCGCTTTGAGGGCACTCTCATTTGGGCGAAGCGATGAATTTCTGACTGTGCGTGGCAGGCTTCCGGTTTGGTCGTGCGCGTGGCTGGACGAGCGTTCGTCCGCATGCTGGAAGAGGCCGACATATGCGCGCCCAAAGCCACTGGCCTCGGATTGGTGCCCAAAGAGTCGCAGTGTCAACGCTTCAAGGCCTGGCATTCTCTTCTTGGCGGTGTGTCTGCCACGCTCTGCAGTGCCGTGGGCGTTTCAGGCTGGCTGGATGCAGGTTGCGTTCATCCAGCAACGGATACCGCCTCATCTCGCCGTTTTCGTTTTTGAGCAATATTGTCCGTGTTCGAGTACTCGTGACTCGTTACACTACAAGGAAGCAAGGCGATGTGAAGGTAGGCAACAGGATGTCGACGGTGGTTGGCAGGCAGTGGCTCATTCGGCACAGGCTAATCAGCAGGATTTCAATTCACGGTTATTTGTGATTTTCCAAGAGGAGCATCTGCCTTGGTGACTAAAGCAGCGCCTTCCCTGCGACTCTGCGACGCGGCAGGTTCGGAGTCGACAGTAGCTGAGCCGCTGGCAAGCGACGAAGCCGCCTGGGGATGTTTTTGAAAAGAGGTTGTAAAGGTGGTCGGTGGCAGGCGCGTCACTGTGGGGCATGGTAGCGAGGCTGCCGGCAGCGCGGGAGCGGGCTTGGAGTCGCTGATGACCTCGGCATTGGTGGCCTGTGCCGGTGCCAGGGCCTTGAGAAACCGGCCGAGCGAAGAGGAAGCGAAACAGCTCAGCACTGCTACTGGGTAGCAGCGTTTCCAGGTCATGACCATCTTGGTCAGCATCCGCCCGGCGGAGGTGATGCTAAGGATGTGAGTTTGCCAGCAAGAAGTGGCGTTTGTTCAGGATATCCCGACCCCTCTGCGGACGATCCCACGTCCAGAGGCTTCCCGATCTGTGTTGCGATTGCAGCAGCCAGCACAGAATTCTGCAGCATCTGCGCAAGCCAGGCTAGCTGGCCTGGCCAAGTGACAGCTTCTCCCATGAGGCGCAAGGCTTCAGTTTCGCATCGAGGGATGGCGTGGATGCAAGGCCCTTTCTCGGCAAGCCCAGTCCGGCTCATCATCTTCCGTCGCCTCATGCTCTGCCACCGACCGCGCTCTTGCATCATCAGGCCGTGAGAAGAGGTGAAGGACTGGAGTGACTCAGAGATAAGCCTGGCCGTCACAGGCAACTCGACAGTCGCTGCACGCAGGGTGCCCAGACGTGCGCACACTGTGAGGGGCTTCCATGAACCGAGACCTGTGCCGGGCGAGAAGTCTGCTGCACAGCTTCCGCAAGAGCAGCGACTAGTAAGTGTTTGGCACATCCCCGAAATGCATGACCTCAACTCTTTTTGGGTAGAGTCGCAACACGTCGCAAGACGGCTCGACAAATGCTTCGAGCATCATTCGTGGCACTAGCAGGGGTCTGCTTCATTTTGGTTGAAGAGCGGCAAAATGGACGTACGGCAGCATACGTGGTATCTAAATCGACAAATGGCCTCCAACTCATTTGGGTCCTACGGATGTTCTTTTCGCGGGCTTAGAGCCGGCAGCTCTCTGACTCCAGAATCAAAAGGTTGCAGACAGAGAGGAAAGCTGTTGAGCTCGGGCTCCATTGGCGCCGCTAGAGGCATGTAACACTCCCGCTCGTGCAAAGACCACCCTGGATCAAGTGAAAGTGGAGGCCTGGCATCGTGGGTCTTGAAGCAATGAAGCGAGAGGTTGTTAGTTAGTGTTTGTGGGAGATTCCGTCCACGCCGGCACCAGAGCATCCGGCAGCCAGGACCGACACATGTGCAGTCTATATTCTGCTCCTGGACTGCGTGTTTTGTCTAGGACGTCTCTGATGTCCCGCTTAGGGCGCACGCCGGCACCAGCCTCATCGATTTTGCTTCGAAGGAAACTCTAAGCCTGAGTGTGGCCTTCGATCGATACGGCTAAGGCAACGGCAGCTGCAGTGCCACCAGGTGCTTCCGGCATGCACTCTGGGCAAGGCAGACAGCATGGAGTTTCGAGCGCAGGGGATGCCCTGCAGCGCCGTCCACCGCCACCTCCGCCTGTGAGCTTGACTGTACCGGCCTCACCTCGCCTTCGCTAGTTGAAGTGTGCGACAGCCCACGGCATGCCCACGGCATAGGTCGAGCCAGCACCCCAGCAGATGCCGCCAGAAGCTGAGAGCTGCGTCTGTAGGGAGAAACTTGGCGGTGAGGTGTTTCTGTTCGTAGCAAACTCGATGCGGAAGGATGAACGACTGAATTACGATCCCTCCCCCCGACTGCGCATGCTTGCGCTACGAGGTTGAGAAGCCATGCCAAGACTACACCGCAGCCGCAGGCTGCGCCTTTAGCCAAGGAGATGCTAGACATGTTATTTGCTGGGTCTGAATGTTTCATGCCTATCGCCTCCCTGCACACGGTGCGATCGCGCACAAGTCGCATCAGCCCTTTCTGAGCAAAAGCGAAAAGCGACTTGTGATAGCTTGAACCTCAGGAGGACGCCTGCGCCCGCTGCGGGTCAGTGCTTCCAGCAGACGACAACTTTTGTCGGCATTGTGGGCAGCAGAGGGGCAAGAGGTCTTGTCAGGCTCGGGTTCTTGTGTGTCTCCAACCACGTGCGGCGCAAGCCCTTGAGAAGGTTCCGGCCGCAATGCCTCCAAGTGGTCCCGTTGCCCCGGTGCGGAGCCGAGGGTTCAGCTGCCGGCTTGGGGGGCCGGGGGTTCGCTCCGGTTTTGGTTTGAGGTTCTGAAGCGGGCAGTTCCCTGAGAGTCAATCTGTTGCGCTGTGCCAAGGCTGGCCGAGCAAAGTCCAAGCAAGCAGACAAATCGCGCTTTCGCCACACGAAGCAGCTGAGCAAGCTGAAGGCAGGACTTGAGGCTGCTAGGGTCTGCAATGTATACCACACACAGATCGTGTCGACATATGCCAGGAGATGGGCTATGACGATAGCGAGGAAGTTCGAGATGCTCCTAGGCTGCCAGTGCCTAGCAAGTCTCAAGTCCCAAAAGATCAGATGCAGCATAGAGTCGCGCGCGTCTCTTGGTGAGGTCTTGACGAAGTGCAATGGAGATTTGAATGCTGCTTTGAGAGAGATCAACTGTCCTGGCACCCGTGCCTAGCAGCATGTCCAACACGCTGAACATCGACGACCAGTAGTGCAGCATCAGTATTGCTCAGCGAGGAATCAGCTTACATTCCAAGTCCTGAGAATCCCTTAAATCGTGGCGTACAATTCGATGCACTGCACACTTTTAGCCATGGGCCAAGAGTTCGGGCGATCAGTCAGTGTAGTGAGTGTAGTGCACAAAGTGAGCCCGATCATGTCCGTCGCCAACTCCCAGCCCAGCAAATTGGCTCGCCAGTCCAGGAGGCCGGGTTAGCAGGCCTGGAAAGAGCCGTGTACCGAATTAGTTTGGGCCCTTGTGGGCCGTTTGGACCGCCGCTCGCATTTGTGGGGCTGCAAACATGACCGTGTCTCCTGGCAGAGGCGGCATTTGCTTAATGGAATTGAGCTTGCAACTTCCATGTTCCGCAGAAGTTTGCCTGTAGTCTCCGCAAAGAAGGACCCCCTCCAACCCTGCACCTGCCGAAAGCCCAGCATTCTCGCTTAGGCTTTTCGACCTCAGCTGAGCATCACAGGACCTGCGGAATTTGAACATCTCGCGTTCCCTTGCGCCATGGCGGCCCTCGAAGTGGCGCGGGTCATGCAAGAAGCAGCGCAGATGGTGGACGAAGCTTGGAGGGAGCTCTCAGGCTCAGGCTCGCTGGCTTCCTGTCCTCTTGCGATGGCTCGAGATTCGAGATGCTCTTGCAGCGTGCAGAGGTGGGCAGGGGGCGGGCGCAGAGGAAGGAGAGTCCCAAAAGTCGCCATCCTTTCGAGCCCGAGCCCGAGGGAATCTCCACGTGTGCAGCTCGAAAGCACCAAGCTCCTGCAGGAAAGCATGCGGACGACGAAGCGAAAGCTGGGCTGCCCAAGACCGTTTGTCGGCAGAAGTGCGGGCTGCAGAGAACCGAAGTCAGCAGTGGCTCAGGGGGAAATGGAACGGCCGGGTGTCCGACTTGACGATGAAGGAGTACCGCGACATGAAGCCGCTCAGTTGCAGTTACTTGTCCTGCGAACTAAGTACTAAGCCAGTGCTTTCTTGTCAAAGGTGGGGCATGGATGCACTGGCCTCAGCTTCACGGCTTCGCCAGCTCAAGCTCGTTTATAGTCGGCCGCCACCGACAGGCCGGCTACAGGGCAGCTCTGCGTGTAGGGCACCGGCCTCAGCCGACGCCAGCAGCGCCGGGTCCTTCACAAAATCGGGCGCCGGCCGAGGCCAAGATGGAGCATGCGTGGATCTCTCTCGAAGCCGCTTAGGGCGAACTCGGACGTTCGATGCCGAGATGCCAAACAGCAACTTCTCACGACGCGTGCCGCCTCTGCGTACCAGGGCATGCTACCCACAGACCCTGCCAAAGCATACGATGCGTGCGGGCCCTGAGCTTCATTTTCGAAGCTTTCGTAGCACTCCGCTCGGTGGTCAGTTGCTACAACACGGCGCCCAAATTCACCATCGGCAAGTCGCTTATCGGCGTCCGAAGCCTCAGAGCTTCTGGAGCTTCTTGGTTGTGCCGGATTCGCAGTGACGAGGCCGCTGACCCCTTGGCGAACAACCCGGGTCCGCAGTATCTCGTCCCAAGCACGATGCCGGGCAGCCAAGACTCTTTGCGGTGGCCACATCGGGTCTTAAGTTTTTCCCTCAGAGGAATCCATCTGGTCATCCGACCGTATGGAAGAACTCAGGAGTGCTTCAGAGAGCTCTGTGAGGGCCAACCGTGCTTTCTTGCACATGGCACGTGAGGAGCAAAGTTTGGCTCCGAGACGCTCCAAGTTAACGATGAGGACGTGATGTGAGACCTTGCGGTTGCGGAAACTCAAAACCTACACTGCGTGTTCATCAGCCCTGCGATGCCCTGCGCAGCTGAAGAGAAGCAGCCGGTTCAACCAGCCAGATCCGTTGCACCTCCATCCACTCTGAATGAGTCCCTTCCGTGCAAATCGAACTAAGACCAAACAAAACCTGTCTAAGACGAGAGAGCGCTTCAAGTGAGGGCAATGGAGGCCGGCGCGGCGCGGTAGTACCAGGCCCTCCCTCCCCTGCCTGCCTTTGGCGACGATCGTCTGGCATCGGACCCGCGGCTTCAAGCTTTAATCACATCACTTCAGAAAGAAGCATTTCATCTCTGCTGGGAGCTCACATGCGTCTCTTGTTGACAAGGACTTTGGTGGGCACGCATGTCTGCAAGCCTGTGCATCTGTCTGCATGTGCATATACACATTGCGCTGGCGGTGGATAGGCATGCAAGCGCTGCGACACGGGCCCTTGCCAAGGATCCTTTCATGAGGTGGATGCTGTCTCAGTCCCTGCTCGTGCTGGCAGGCCGTGGGCTTAGTTGCGACCTCGTGTCGCGGTTGATTTTGGGCCTGCTACTAGCCGTCAGGACTTGCGAAAGAGCTGGACCGCTTCAACCCGGAGACGGTCTGCTGCAACATCGAGAGCGTTGACGGCTTGCTGTACTGTGCCTAGCATGGCACTAGGACGGCCGGGGCTTCTTGGAGTTTTTCCAGGAGAGCTACAGTGATTTCCTGCAGAGGTGCGAATGCTTCTGCGACAGCACCCGCCAAGAGTCACATCCACGTGACGAGTTTGGCCACTCGGGAGATTCATGGTTACGCCCCTGGGACGCACTGTCGCTTGCGGCTCGAGTCTAGAGAAGTTGTGGAGCCATCTTCAGATGTCAGGCCGTGTTCTCAGCAGCAATCAATGCGGCGCATGCAAAAACGTTTGGCAACAGCTTCCAGCTGGCTACAAGCAGCTTCGGATTGGGATCTGATTTGAAGCTGCTTTGGAGGGCTGGAAACGTCGCCACGATATTGGAAGCACTGAAGGCTGCTCGGCGGTAGGAGAAGGTCACTTGCAGGGCCAGTGGTCGGGCTGTCGGAGCGAACCAAGGTTGCTCCTGGGGCCAGCTGGATTGCGTACCTCGATGCCGATGCAGTTGTCGTGGACTTTAGCAAGGATGCGCTGGCTGATGTGGTGCGTGCACACTCGACGAAGGAAACACACTTGATGGTGAGTCGTGGAGAGCTCATCGGACCAGGGACATCAAGCATGTTCAACTCGGGCTTCTTGCTGGTCAGACAGCATCCGTGGGCCCACGACTTCGTCCAACTCTGGCTGTCACAACTTTCTTCGTCCAAAGCCAACGACCAGGAAGTGTTGGAGCAGCTTTACCGGCAAGGTGCCCCGAAATACGTGCCGAAAAAGACAGCCCAAACCGTGCAACGCATCTCAAGTCATAGCTTCGCGTAGCTGCACTGTACATAGAAGCAAGTGAGAAGAGACATCCGAATCCCCTTGCCGTTCCAAGACGCCCTGTCCTGCCGGCGGCACGTGGCCATTCTCCCCATGGGCCTGGTCTACAGCGAGATCGGGAACCCCATCTCTGGGCCACCTGACCAGCAGCATGTGGTCCACCTGGCAGGAATCCCCGACCAGGTCCGGACCGGAGTCTTCTCGGCCTTCTGGAGAGATCTTTGCGGAACCAACACCTCCATGGCCCTGCCGGGCAGCCACCCGGACTGAGCACTCGCCGTGGCACGTACATGCACGCACAATGTAGGAGCTCCTCGCGAGCCATTGCGAGCCTCAGGCCTCGGGCTTCGGCAAGCCTACCTCGAGGAGATGGCATCCTTTGTGAGCCAAGGACTCCGTGGTTTCAGACTCCGTGGATTTGCGAACTCTTGACAGACAAATCAATAGGCCCATAGCAGCAGAAGTTGTTTCGTAAAAGACCGGAAGCACCTATGAGATCAGCGCACTTGGCGTAACATAGACAGCGGGTTAGCACTAGTTAAAGCACCCTGCATGATTCGAGCATGCCCGATTCGGGTCTTTTTAGGGTTTAAGGGTTTTTAGTTACGAGGTTAGGATGTATCCAGGGTTCATGGACTGCAAACATCGATTCGTGAACCGAATCGTCTACTGAGCGGCACATTTGGGCACGGAGGATTCATGCACTGCTGCAGCCCATTCGCGTCTGCAGCGCGCTCACCGGGAAATTCAGCGCCTATTGCACAACACCGTGAAACTTGACAGACCGGCACCAAGAAGCACCTGGCAAGGAGATGCCTCGGCAGAAATGGTGCTGCTCGGCTTGCTTCGTACAGTATATAATATATGTCTAGCTGTTGTAGATAGCAACGATCTGACTAAAGGTTTCCACAAAGTTTGTGTAGATGAAGTCACACGGGAAGCGAGTTCTTTCGGTGATTCGTGATGGCCAGGGCGTCAGGCAGCGTGTGCGCATGTGTACCTAGCGTGTTTTTGCACCATGTAGTTTGTGCAGCAAAGCGCCACCACTGATGGCCGAGCTAGAGATTGTACTTTCCGTTCATTCCCAATCCCCACCCCTGCAACAAGCTGGCACTCGCAAGCTCAACGAAACATGGGCATCATTCACAGCATCTGCGTGTGGTGGGCAAATGTGAGGTGTCTGTCGCCTGCAAGCGCACGACAATGCTTGGAGGCTTGCAGAATGCTGACCTCCACCCTGTGGCCTTTGTTCTTGAGCTTCTCTAGGCTGCGGAGCGCTTGGCCTATGGGCTTCAGCTGGATGGACGACAGCAAGAAGCTGCCTCTCGGGCTTGGAAGGCAAGCGAAGGCACAGACTTCTGTGCTCAAGTGCTCGAGGTCCACTGGGCTGCTGGGGCTCTGTCGGGACGCGAGCAGCACCTTGGCACCTTGGATGAGGACACGCTGGCCAGCCGGAGCACCCTCGCCACAGCTTCCTGGCGTGGGAAGGCAAGAGATTTCCGTTCCTGGCTGCGTTTCTGTCATTTGCTGGTGTTGTGGTCTGTAAATCCTAGGTCCCAGATGCGGCAAAGAGACCACAACTAGTCTTGACAGGAGGGTACAGGGTGGTTTGCGGTGTCTTAGAGCAGCATTATCATACCACGCATTGTCACACTTCTTCGAGGGAGGAATGTGCGGTTTGGAGGATGCGCTCAGGCTTGTTGCTATGCTGTCTGACATAAGGTCATGGAGGCTGGCGGCCGCAAGGAGGCTGATGTGGCTAGGATGCTAGGGTAGCACGACGATAAGCGGACACCTGAGTCATTGCAGGAGGCGCTGGCCTTCTCTATGGCGGCCTGGGAGGGTCGCAAGGTCACCTATGGCCCAAAGCACCGTGCCACGATGCTGAGCACAGCTAGGCAGGGTGCGGGGAAAGGAGCACGGATCATCTTGTATTCTTCCTCGTGCTGCCCAGACATGCAAGGCTCGGATCGCAGCTGCTGGCGCACAACAGGCCGGCTTAGACGGTGAGTGGACCGTGGAGCAACTCCAATGTTGACATCAGTTGCTGGCAGCTTGCAAAGGCTGGAGGAGGCTACTGTGTTCCTCCGGGCAGCACAACAGGCAGACATCTTGGGCCCACAGCACCCGAGCAGCATCTCCGCAGCTGCTGCTCTGGCATTGGCTTATGCCAAGCAAAGCCGCTACACGGAAGCGCTTGCACTCTACCGGCAAACCGCCCATTCTGCTGCTGAAGGCCTTGGCAAACATCATGCCACGACCTTGGAGTTGCGGCTTGGGGTGGCGGACACTCTTCGACAGCTTGGTCAGAATGACGAAGCGGCCGCCACAAGTGCACGCCTTCTGAGGGCACATCGCAGGGCGCTGAAGACTAAAGCCTTACGCAGCGACCAGCTGCGCCTGGCGCGTGCCATTGAGCTGGTTCTGGGCGGCCGCGTTGAGACGCTTCCGAAGCGTCTGAAGCTCATAGAGGAGGCAGCCGAGGCAGGGACAGGGATGGACTGATGATGTCCGCATCGCGTGGCATTTTTGGCTGGTTGGCAGTTTCGCCTCAGGTCTATGCCAAGCTCGACATGAAATCCTCTCGTGTCTCGATCCTGCGTTCCGGTGCTGACATGCTACAGGCAGATGCGCGCAGCTCGGAGGCTGAGAGCTGGTTCCGACGAGCCCTGGCGGTGGCTGAAGACACTGAGACTGAGAAGTCTGAGAAGGGCCTTGCCTCCGCAGTGGCATCAACAGCCAACAATCTGGCGATGCTGCTTCGCAGTCGCGGAAAAGGCGCAGAGGCTGAGGGGCTGCTGCGGCGTGCTGCGCAAGGCTTTGCAAAGGACCATCAAGCTGCAGAGCTGAGGCCAGGCGAGCACAGGCATCGTTGACTCAACTGTGAAAGCACCAACTTCCCTTCAGGGCATTGGGCAATCTTGCGGACACTCTGAGAGCCAATGGTCGCCTCAGCGAAGCCTTCAAAATCTCTATGCGGGTGATGCAGAGCCACGAGCTGTTGGACAGCGAAGACGATGTCACATGCTGAGCTGAATACTGCCGTTGCATCCATGCAGACCTACCATCCCAATCGACATCCGAATCGTGTGGAATTCGGGAGGCTCCTCTCACCCGAGGTGTTGACCGCTAAGAGCAATCATGCGCTCTTGCTCTATGCCCTGGGGAAGCGCACCGAATCTGCGGCGCTCTACAGCGATGTGCTGCAACAAGCTGCGCCTAGGCGAAGACTGCCTGAGCTTGCTTCGACGGGACCGTGAGCGGCAGCCTTGTACACCCAAGGAGCGGGTGTTCGGCGCCATGTCGAGACAGGTTCCATGGCCTTGGACTGCCGATTCCTGATTCACTGGAGTTCAGAAAAAGCTTCGAGGGGAACAGGTGTCGAAGTGGTTTCGGGTTGCATGGCGACGAGAGCCAGATGCTCAGCAAGCCGTGAGCGTCGGCTCCGGTGCCAGAACCTGGTCGATGCAGACTCACGCAACTAGCAGGTGTAGTCGGAACGCGTGGCACCAGAAAGCCGCAGCTGAAGCCCATCTAACTTCAACCCTTTCGTTGCAGCTTCAACAACGTACGTGAAACGGGAGAAAGGGGGTAAGTCCAGGCTGTCGCCGCGCGTGCGGACTTGGAAGAGCTTCGTCGCAGAGAGGCGAGGTTGGCCAGTTGTCGCAAATCATGCCATCTCCAGTCATTTTCAGACACCAGTGTCTGATGTGGCATGTGTTTGACGAATACTCGGCACTTGACACTAGCGTGGATGCCAACATGTTGTGGTTCTGGTTTAGCAGCTTAACTACATCTACTGGCCTACTCCTTCGCTGCTTGGTGCTATGCATGAGTTCGAACATGCAAGCCCTGTATGCTGTTTGGGAACCTTTGCCTCAGTTCGAGCTGCTAGCTGCTAGTGAGCGGTTTCACCCTGCAGGCAGCAGAAAGCTCCGGTCGAGGTCGCCGGGAACTCGGCCCAATGCCAGTCATGTTCAGTTTCAGCTCAGAATGGGATAGACTTTGCCGAGGAGCATCGACTCGGCCGGGTCAAACCAGAAGCGGAAGACGCAATGCCGAATTGTGAGCAGACAAAACCGAATGTGCCTTGAGATGTGTGCACCCATGAGGGATCTGTTGCTGAAAACGGAGAGCTGGGCGAACTGGGGAGGACGGGCCAGCACCCGGACAGTACGACCAGAATGTGCGAGACTCAGACCAGCAGAAGCCTTAGGCCGACTCCCTTCAGAACTTGCGCTGAGGCTTTCAAGCACAGTGGCCAGATCCGGAGGGCTCCGGTATATACTGCGCAGGGCAGGGAGGTGCCCAGACAGACGTCCAAGCAGAAGCACGCTTTATGACGGAAAGCACTTGCGAGGCTTGGCGCGACCCCGTGGCGGCCCCCGGCCCCGTGCCAGGAGAGTGCGCCGTGGGGATCCGCAGGGCTGAGAACAAGAGGCAGGCGCACGTCAGTGTGAGCGGCGTGCAGGTACAACGTCGAAAGGGCTTTGCGCAACGGGAAGATCACCCCCTTCAAGCCACTTTGACGCCTTCAGCAGCAGTGCCCCGATGGTGGCACCGACCTCGACGGCAGTGTGCGGCTGCCGGACTGTGACAGGTGGACCATGCAGGGCAAGACCGAGCCGCTCTCGCCAGCGCGCGGTTCGTCTGCCACGCTTGATCTATCTGGTGATCTTGCTTTGCGGTTGTCGCCACATTGACATGAGCGTTGATCTGAAGCTTAAAGCTCGGCTCGGCTGAGCGGCTAGACCGGCTTTCATGCTTTACCAGTAGCCGACGGGCAGGCGAGAGGGCCACGGTGAAGCCGGGACCTGGCCACTACAAGCTACCTTCCATCGGCGAGAGGCCCGCGGCGCCCGCGGCCCCAAGACCATCGCCTCTTCTCTCCTCTCCTTCCTCCTTCAGCGCCGCAGGAATGCTTACCCCCACATCGAGAAGCCGCCTCTCTGGAAGTTCTTGCAAGAGCCGAGGGGTCTGCTGCCAACCTAGAGCGGCACTCGTTTCACCCAGAAACACCCTGCCTAAACTTTCCAGAACTCAGCATCGCAGCGAAATTGTAAGCCCTCCCTCCGAGATCTCCGAGTGCGGCGGTGTCCCTGCTTTCACCCTGCGCTTGCAAAGCAATCCGGGGACAATCAGGGTGTGCCTTCAGTGTGCCTGTCACCGTCACTCCTTGCCAGTCTGACAGCAGTGTGCTTTTGGGCTGTGAGAAAAGGTGCCTCAAGATCTGTGATAACCACCATGGAGAGTATCTTAATCGCGATGTCTTTAAGGCTCGCGCCGTCTGGCTTCAGATAGAATAGAGAGATCATGTGCCCAGTTCAGCCGGTTGCATTGCAGCGACAGTGAGGCTCCCTGGCCCTAGCTACTGGAGCGACTGCCCAGTGACTCTGCAGACTCCACAGCGATAATATGAGCAAGAGTCCCATGTGGCAACGCAGCGCAAGCCGCAAACGAGGCCTCCAGCTGCTCTTACTAGTAGCGGATGAAGCCATGGGCTGCCTTGTGGCATTTCCTGGCCTTATGTGGGGCCGAGCACGTCCTGTGGTTGCAAAGGCCTGGGCTGCATGGTCTTAGGTGTTTCGTTAGGTCAAAGCTGGTTCAAGATGGTGTCAGGTATAAGCTGCCCATAGCATGACCTGTTTGGCAAGCCGTAGCTTCACTCAATCGATCAAAGACTCATGATCCGGAAATAGGCACGACTTCCAGCCCACGGCGCTGACGGATGCCAACTCCACCGTGTACCAGGCTTGGCAGACAAGGCCAGCCAGCGGAAGTGAGAGTCGAGCAGACATGGCTCGATCAGTGCATTTAATGCTGCAGCCATCCAGACTCTGGAGATGTTTGCCCCGCCAGGAGTCAGACAAGCACTTTCTATGCTAATCGGCTACTTGCACTGGAGCAACTGGCAACCAGCAGTCTGCGATCAGAGGAGCTGAAAGACAGACAGTCACTTGTTCCGCCCTGGGACACGTTTGTCGTTTATTGGAAGGGTTCTGGTGTCTTCAATATTCACCAGGGTGTTGCTGATCCTCGTTGCCGAGGAACTTGTACTACACAGCCGCCGTGCAGATTGGTGAACCGCCCAAGGAGGGGCCGCACTGGGCTCCCCTGTCAAGCCAAGTAGAGCTAAGTTTCGCAGCTCACTCTTGCACCGAGTGCGAGGTGCACTCTGCGATGATTCTGCTGGAACAGCTTTCGAAAGACCAGTCGGTTTCGCAGAGGGTGATCATACCGGATATGCTTCCTGCACTCGGTTAGCATGCACACGGTTGCCGGCGTTCCCATGTTGCTTGCAAGCTCAAGACTAGATGATGAAACCTATCCTGTTCGCGAGTACGACTCGATGCAGTCCAGGCTGGACAGCTTCGTAAGACTTCGTCGGACGGCAGGGGCTGAAGTGGAGGGCCAACCTGTGTCGACCGCCATAGGCCAACCGGATCATCGCTTCGGATCCACATTGTCATGCATCGGAGAAAGCTAGGAGGAGGAGGAGGAGGAGGAGGAGGAGGAGGAGGAGGAGGAGGAGGAGGAGGAGGAGGAGGAGGATCAAACTCGCAGACCACGGCCCATCCTGGAGATGCTTCTGAAGCGCGAACACGAGGGTGTGAGAGCTGAGACTGCGGGGGGAACGTGCGCAGACTGCGAAGGTGCTCAAAAAAGGATGGTCTCAGTACCATGTATCGCAGTAGCTTTGGGACGCACGTCGATGACAGAGGGGACTTCGAAGTCGAAGCCAGAAGATTGAGATCAGTGTGAGTGTGCCGAGTCCAGGAGGTGCAGCTCATCCTGGACACAGGCAGGAGAAAAGCCTTGTCCCTACATCCTGACTGCATTGCAGACGTCAGGCTCCTCGGACCTCTGGGTGTCCGACCGGGTATACGACCCTGGCGAATCCGTTACGTGGAGTTCGGAGGAGTACCCCGTGAACATGACCTACGGCATCGGCTTTATGAGTGGTGTCTATGGGCTCGATCGGGTCTGTCTTGTAACAGCGCCTCAGAGGACCTGCTGCAATGCTCGCAGCCATTCTGCGCGTGTCTGTGTGTTTTTGCACCTCGAGAAGCTCAAGTGCAAAAGAGGATCTGCATCGACCAGCAGCCTGTGATTTACGGCATGGAGACGCGAGACATTCCTGACAGAATCCATGGCGTCCTCGGGCTGGCCTTCATCGGACTGTCGCATGTGCACCGCACGTTCCTGCGGAACCTCAACGAGACGGGTGTTGGGCAAACGGTAGCATCATTCCGAGAAAAACTAGGTCCGAACCTGCCAAACTGTGCCCGGAAACCTGAGCCAAGTACGTCACAGGAGCTTCGCGGACCTCGCCTTTGCGTTTGCGCTGCGCGGAGGTGACCAGAAATCGCTGTTCACAGTGGGCGACTACGATGAGGCACCGTGCAGGGTCCTTTATGGCAAGGCCGTAAAGAGGCATCTGGCTTCCGAGTCACTTCCGAGCATGAACCGCCTGACTTGTTGCATAGTTACTGCAAAATTTCTTGTGTCACTGTACTCGTAGCACTACAGAAGAGGAGCAGCATTCTGTGCTCCCGATGAGATCCTCTGTTCTGGATTCCAAGCCGCATGCCTATGCCTTCCTGCCAAGGTACTCGCTCGGGGCTTTCAAGTCACCGGCATCGACAAAGCTTCGGTGGTGCGTGCAAACGTTCTGAACGTTTTCAGGCGCCGCCGCCATGTCGAACTCTTGCACACCAAGCTGCTTCGTCAACACTGGATGCACCTGTTTCGAGTTGTGGCCCTGCGCACAGGGTCCAAGGCGAAGTGGGACCCCAAGCAGGATGGTGGCTCTTGAAAGCCCGCGTGAAGGTCGGAATGGTGGTTCTGCTTCCAGCTCTTGTGTGTGGTTCAAAGCCCCGTTCAGATTCGTTCGTTTTTTGTGATCACGTTGCTCATGGAAGCTTTTCGCCTTTTATTGCTCAGGTGAAAACTGTTTCTTTATGACCGGTTTCCAGTGTCTTTTGCTTTGCCCGCGGCTCGCTGAACCCAGTTTGGTTTGGGCCTTTGCACGAGAGGTGCCCCATTCGAGCACCTACCCTCGAGCACAGCTCTACAGTGACCCTCCGATGCTGGGACTACTGCAGGTGCCACCCTTCGCGGAAAATTGTCTCCACAAATGTCGCACGATTTCGAGTCCTCTCCATGTCGAGGCGATTTGAGGTTGCTGCTCGCCTTCTCTCGTGTGTGAGTATGCCGGCGCCTGTTTTGCTAAAGTCCGAACAGGGAAGAAGCATGTCATGTTCTTCTGTGAGCACACCGCAAGCCTCTCCATATTCGCATGATTTCGCTTGCAGTCTCTTTCCATTAGCCGCGACCCTGGGCCGGTGTTGCCAATGCCGGAGAGTGTCTTTCTTTCTCTGTTAGACCGTATGGAGACTGTGAGTTCCTTCAAGCACGATTCGGGCAGCAACCCCGATTCAAGCACAGGCGAGTAAGTAGGGTTTGGGTACGTGGCATGAAGGAACTATCCTACGTGGTGGGGTTTTTGTGTTTTTTGTTCTTCAATCAGTTCTGGTACGCTTTGGGATTTAGGGTTTAGGACGTTAAGTTTAAGGGTTATCGGGTTTAGGGCTTTTCGGAGAGGGGGGGAAGGCTTTGTTTAGTGCAATGAGCTTGCCATACCCGTCCTTTAATCCGCCGTCCAGTTCACGAAGTTTTCCGTGCTTGAAACCGGTGAGTACTTGCGTGAGTTGTGGGTGGTGTGCCTGTGAAAATTCCGTTCTATCCGGCTTTGAAGTCGCGTGCTCGCGACTGCTAACAACTGCTGTTGTTTTTGTTTTTTTGTGAATGTGCGTACTGTAACGGTCCAGACTGCCTATGTCAACATCCCTAGATGTAGGACAATGTAGGATATATGTCACCAGAATATAGGTCAAGAAAGAAGGCGCAGCTTAGATGCCCTTTCCTTGGCCGGTGTGCGTACGGCGGAACGGCGAGTCTTGGAAACCTCAGTTCTGGCGTCTCAAGCAAGAGTGCAGAGCACTCTCGACGACACCAAAGAGCACCCCAAGGCCTCAGTTTCCCTAAGTATTGAGGGCTTTCGGAAAA